CCATAACTTGTTTTTCAAAATATTAATAAAAGGGGTGTGTCTCCAAACAGCCATCTCTTTCCTGACAATTCGCTTTGTGCATATTCTCTTACATATGATAAGTCAACATTGAAACACCTGTGGCGCTTTGTAGTCCGGGAAATACGGTACATAAAGTTAGATAAGTTGTGATTGCCTGCCTCTATTGGGATCATCATCCTTGCAGTTATGTAGAAACAAAGGGGGAAATGAATCCACATTCTTACTTTTGATAAATTTGTTACTTCACACAGCTGACCTGCTGAACATAAAGCAAAGCCAAATGTCACGGTTATGGGTCATGTTGACCCAGTATTTTCAGTTTCTTATGTTTTTTGGTATTGTTCTGTATTGTGATTTATGTCTGATTCTTTAGTTATCCTGTTTTGATTATTATTACAAATCTGTGTCAGTTTATTCTGGTCTAGGGTTTAGTTCTTAGGTTTTGTGTCCCATGGTTAGTATAGGTCTAGTTCTGTGTCTGCATCTTTGTGAGTTGTTCCCTGTTTTATTTTGAAGGGCTATGTCTTATGTCAGTGTGTCAAGCTTCGCTCCCCGTGTCTCGTTAGCCCTAATCTTTCCCAGCTATGTCTCCCTCTTGTTTTCCATTCTCTGACTATGCCTCAGTGTATTTAAGCCCCGTGTTGCTTTGTGTCAGTGTTGCGTCGTACCCTCAGAATCACCTGTGTGTTCTTGTGTTAGCAATCTCAGTTTGATTCATGTTTTGTTTTGCGCCAGTAATAAAGCTGTGGTCTTTGAGTTGCATTCAGTGTCCGAGTCCTGCATTTGGATCCTCACTTCCGCCTGCCCGCACACAGAGCCCTGACACCAAATACCAAAAGTTGTGGAAGTAGATGCTTCTGTAAATTGATACCAATTTAAAGCTATTATAAGTTACAGATATCAGTATTCTAGGTGATGTTTACTGTAAATTGTACAATACAGCACAATTTGTGCTTTTTTTCTGTGGTGTTTTGAGTTCTAGTAGTATTTGCCTGTATTTACTTTACACATTGAGCTTTGTTGTACTTTCTCCACCTCTCTGAGTTAACTACTACAACCTGATACCTGTAGCCTTGACACTATTCTGCTATTACACATGCCAGTCAGCAAGCAAGCTCACATACACACTGTTCCTGACTTACCAGATCACTCAAGCAAGAATCCACATACCCGTCGAACTTTATCTTCCTCACGCTTTCCAACTGATTTTGTGTTTCTTGTTTTTCTACGATTTATTTCTGTTCATCAGCTTTTTCTGTTGTCTTCTTCCTTTCGGATTTTCTTGAACTGTTCAGCAGAGGATGGCTTTAAGTGTGTGCACTGTTTGCCTTGGAAGCTTCAGTGCGACAAAGAGAGCTTGAGAGATGGGAGTGTGTCATCTGAAGTGGGAGGAGGATAGATGGTGATAGTAGTAGTAGGTTTTAAATGACACAAAGACTGTAAATGTATTATTTCCAAATAGACAACACAAATTGAACCAAACTAATTTTATGTTTATGTAATTTTTTTGTTACTGACCCCAAGACATGTCCTTACATAGCTATTTCAGCTGTAAATAACTTAATTATGCATGTCAGGGGGAGGAGAAGTCATGTGTAAAATTGCACAAATCAGAGTCAGTACTTATCTTGTGAGCAAGTTGTAAGATAGGATTCATACACATTCAGGTAATGAGCAGACAAGACTAGCCCATTGTGCTCCTACACATTCTTAGATATAACTAAGTTATAGGAAGTGCTTCAGTTACAGTCTGAGGGCTTTTCCTGAGGCCTGTGCTGTTGTAGCACAAATCTGTAAATCTAGACCAATGACAGAACAGATAAGTCTGTGAGTTTTTTCATACCACTTGGCATAGACATGTTTTGGATTCCTGTCATGGATTACTCGGTGTCTCTTGTTCTAAATACTGACTTCAGATCAATCTTTAAAATGCAACACGCATGGACTTGTAGGAGAGTAGACATAAACAGTCCATGGAATGTCAAGAAATCGTGTAGTTGAATAAAAATCTACCCTCTGCCCACATTGGCTACCTATAACTAATTTTATAGCAATTAACTCAGTGCATCAACATCAGACTGCAAATACATACAATACATGTGAAGACTGGTGAACACAAGTGACTCTCTGTGCTTATTTTTTAGTTTAGTCAGTGTGATAAGAAAAGAAAAGTTTTTTTCTGTTTGCAGGCATATCATGACTGAACTAATTGAAACAGAAAGGCTGTATGTTGAGGAGCTGCAAAGCATCATGGAGGTATAGTATTTCAAGTGACTGAGATTTTTGTATCCATTTTACATGGTTGTGGCTTATTTGCATCCAAAAAGCTGCCGACCTGAACTGCTTACTTGGAATTGCACCTGTTTTACATCTTGAGAACAAAGCTACTACAGTAAACAGTCCTTAAATCTTCTAATCATCTCCCAGAATTGTTATAGAATTTTAAAAAGTTCTTTAACTGTTAAAGGATCATTCTAGGTAGACACAGTTTACCTATTGTTTTCATACACATTGGATCTAGACTGACATTCTCTCAGTTTCCTGCCACTGCAAAAGTAGTGCAAAGAAAATGTAAAGAAAAAGCAATGCAGAAGTGACTACACCCTTGTACAATGCTGTGGTATGTAATGCAGTAAATGTAATTAGTTTCGCAATCAAAAAAAGAAAAGGATCAGTGCAAAAGTATTTTTTTAGTGTATTTGTTTTTTTTTATACTGATGTCTCTGAAATGAGACTGACTGATTTTTACATTTCGCTGTTGTTTCTTTATTATTTCATTTTTTGAACCTCCCTCTCACCCTGATTCCCAGGGTTATTTTGCAGAGCTGAATAACTCTGAGCTTAGCCACCTCATGCCACCATCACTGGAGAACAAAAGAGATGTGCTGTTTGGAAACCTGCCGGAGATATATGAATTTCACAACAAGTAGGTGGAATTTACTTTATTTTGCCATTGGCCTCGACATATACACAACTATAACTTGGAAACACTGATGTCAGCAAAGATATATCACAGAAAACTGTGATATATGAACAACTCCTCTTTTAAAGGATTACCAGATGACTGGTAATGTGCCTTCTCTTAAAGTATCTTTTGCCTGGAGAAACATATTTCACTTGATGGCAAATGTGCATCATTCAAATAGCTGTCAGTTTGTACTATTAAATGATTGTTTGCACTCAGGTAATCCTGTAATTTTAAACCAAAAGCTCTCCCTAAAGAATTTCTAAAAAACTGGACTAACAGGAAGTCAAAGCATGCACTGCACACAAACCACACCTCCCCATTGCTTCTTGTTAAGGCAATCATGTGTGGTTCATATCAGTATATGTATCTCTGTGAATTTATTTAAATATCAAAACCTGAGAAAATGTGTAAAATGTATTTAAAAACAGAATACACTAATTTGCAAATCTCATGTTTTACTGACAGTAGAAAACAGAAAACATATCAAATGCTGAGAGATTTTATTATTTCATGAATTCAATGGTAGTACGACATCTCTTAACAGATCACTTTGATGATTAGTTAGATTTACCAACTTAACTAAGATCTAATTAAAAGACTAAAGTAACTAGACCTAAAGATTATGTAATTTGCATACACCTAATTAGTTTTAAGTAATTGGGATGCAATGTGTATTGTTTTCTTACTTTGTTTTCATGTATTTTCTGCAGGACATTTCTCATGGAGCTGGAGAACTGTGCAGAGAAACCAGAGCTGGTTGGAACCTGTTTTCTGAAAAGAGTGGGTATTTAGAAATACCCGCAAGTACCTGTAAAAGGGTTTATATTAGTACTTCCTTTACGTTAGTGGTTACTTTTTTCTCCATGGCTATAACAGTGCACTTTTAACAGTACAAGGAATAACATGATATATTTTGCTCTTACTTTAAATGCACCCACACCAGGGACACTTGAATACTTTTCCTGCCATATCTGAGAAACTAATGACATAATGGAAAAAATATGTCTCTCACTAGCAATATTTGTTGTTCTTTAATGTGAAAAAAAAATGTCCAGCCAACAATTCACACATTGACAGAGCAAACATTTGTTCCAGTTTCCAAGTATCAACTCCTCAGTCCAGTGAACCAAATGCTGCTTTGAAATATGAGAAAAGGTACCCGAAGGATCTGAGGACAGGAACTAATGAAACCTTTCAGGTTTTGCAGGTGAAACTGAAAATAGACACCCTCCAGAATCAGGTGTCTGGAAAATGAATTCCTTGCCAGGACCTCAGGTTGTAAACCTTAAACGTCTTTAAGGCTGAGACGTGGCATGGAGATAGCCATTTTTTTTTTTTTTTTTTTACAAAAGAAGTTAAAGGTCGAGACTTGACAATTCTTCAAAAATAGGCAGATAAAGAGTAATGAGATCTTCATTAAAGGTCTGCGGGCTAACAGGCAAGGAGTCTGATTACTGGCGCAAATTCGCACTTCACTGGGCATGTAGAGAAAGTAAGGAGAAGCAGATTTTTGTCACAGATGATCTATTCATGGGCTGAGACTTAACAACAATATAGAGCAATGATAGTTATTCAAAGCCATAATCTTTTGTCATCTAGTTATCATTAGACAGGTAAAACCAGACCTTCCATTCTTTGAAACAGGGAGATCTGATACTGTGAATCGAATTTGTTCATGCTTAGCATTGACATACTTATTGTGTTGTCTTTGGTTTGTGTGAAATCCATCAACAGAGACTTAAGAAAACACACAAAGCTGTAAGTTTTTATGTTAAAAAACTATTTACATAATAGTGAGAAATTACTGCACACATAATCTAATTTCCCAAGTCGGGGAGGAGCCAAGTCTTTAACTTACAGATTTGAAGTTCTAAAAGTACTAATACACAGAGACTTCAGGTGAGCCATTTATCATAGATCTATCATAAGTCTAGTTTTTTAGTTGGAACCTTTTTCTCCAGGTTTTAAAGTCCAATACTTTGTATTGTTGTACGGTTGTTTTTATTCAGATAACATGCGAAATTACAAAGATGTTCACTCTATTTTTGCACAACAAATTTGTTGTCTCGATTCATATCCTAGAGGGTTCCTTTAATATTCATATAAATTCATAGAAAGGTGGCAAACTTTTAAAACTAAAGATTGAATTGAACAGAAACTGAGAAACCAAATAGCCTTCCCTCTTCTCACTTGGACATGTGTTTGTGCTCTCAGAAAGAAGAGCTTCAGGTGTATGAAAAGTATTGTCAGAATAAACCACGCTCTGAAATCATCTGGAGGCAGTGTGGGGACAGCCTGTTTTTTCAGGTAAAACACACACATACGCGCACGCACGCACACACACACACACACACACACACACACACACACACACACACACACACACACACACACACACACACACACACACACACACAC